GTGAACATTTGCACCATGCATGTCACTTAAGTTTTTTGGAAAAAAGAAACCCTTGCAACCTTTAAATCTTTGTGTTATTGCCTCCACTGCTTAAGAAATAACCTAATATAAACACTTAGGTACCAAAAGGAACGTGACTTCACTTCTAATTTGGGGAGTTTTTCATGTATCTCAAGAGGAGATTCATGAGCACATTCATGAAGAAAATTGCTTTTTTCTCATGGTATCTTTAACACGCAAGTATTGATACGTCAAAGAAACAGCATGATGAGCATTTGAAGTGTTGGCACCTATCGCATACTTTGTATACACACTGCGTGGTACAGCTTCATACTCTTAGTTCTCTTTCTTATTCCTTGAGCTCTCCATCTGGATGCTTTCAGATTAATTGCTGGAAAAGTTCTCTCTCTGGAGGACACCCTCAGCACCAGGGCCTGTTGCTGTTTCAGGTGTTCTGCACCTGCTCGTTCTCCTCCCCTTACATCCTGAGTAACCCAGTCCTTTGGCAATGATTATTTTAAACAGCATAAAAGCCTCTTTTCTGCAAATGAAATACAATACATAAATACAGTTATTATTTCATTACTGTAGTCTCTGGCCATCTGAAAATATTTTGCTCAGCTGACAGAAATGATGCAAAATTCTCATTTCCTTGAAGTAATAAAGGGAAAGGTGTTCTTTAATAAAATGAAAAGGGATAGCTGCCAGATGCACAGCTTTGGAGACTACTGTCTTTGGAACCATGAGACATAGCCCCTAAGTCCAGAGTTGTACTCTTAAGATGCAGACAACTGGGCTAAAGGAGGGTAGCATCGCCCCCAAGCAGCTCTGGGAAATTCAGAGCGTATCACTTTCTTAACAAATACAACCTTTATTTCTACTCAAAGGCTGCCTGAACAACGGTTAAGTCTGGAGTTACTGGTAATTTATGACATTTTCCTGTGAAATTTTACTCCAGCTCACTTCAGGTGAAGTGCCACTCCAGCGCCCCAAGCACCCATGTGAACACCCGAACACCCAGTCAAATCACACTGTGGTCACCCACATATCCTGCTTGCCTCACAAAATCAGAGCAGAGGGGTTGGCTGGCATGTGCCCAGCTCTCACCAGGGCACAGGACATGCCATGGGTCCAGGAGGAACAGCACCTGAGCAGCCTGTGAGTATCACTCCTGTCTGGAATAATAACCACTAGTGTGAGCTGCTGGAGCAATCTTCCAAACTATGAGGCTTTGGCCAAACTCTGTTCCCACTGAAGACATGAACACTTACCTTGATTTCACAGTGGCAAGAGCTGGGCCAGTGCCTGTTATTACTCCATCCTATATGAGGAGTTTGGAATAATTCTTGTCATGCAGTCAAACAGAATAATTGTGCTGGCATTTAAGTCTGAATGGAAGGCATGGCCAAATTCTTTTCTGGCTCGTTTAACCTTCCTAATGCCAGAATTCATATGCAGGTTTGTATAAAGCCTATACAGGGCTGTGTCAAACACAATCCTTTCACATACAAGAGAGGTTTGTCTCAGGATATATGCTGAAGCAGATGAATTTAAAATTTAGTTTCTGTGAACACGTGTGCAGGTAAAATATAACTGCCTAAAACCAGACAGAGCAGGTAAGCACAGTCAGGAGGAACTTGTGTTTAAGTTTCTGTGAACACCTGGGGCTGTGATCTGCGGAGGATTTTCAAGGCAAAATGCTTGTGCACCATGATGGTTATACACATTTGGAAAAAAGAGTAATAATAAAAAGAAACATTTTGTAGTAAAAAAACAACTGCAGACTTAGAAAGAAGTTCGACTCTGTTGTCCTCTAATGTTAAGCCTCACCTATTTCCTAAAAAGATGATGAAACGATGTGAGTATTTGGGATTTAAATGGCATTTCTCCTTCAAAAAGCTTACAGGTGTGGTCTGTAACTGGGACCTAACCCCTCTGCACTGACAGCACCACCAATTCTGTAAATTCTGCCCCACCAACATATACAAACAGCTCAACATTACTGGAACAACCCCATGTTAACTGTCTTTTCAAGAAAAACTGTTAAGCCATATTCTTTTCAGCCCTAATTACCTGGAAATTACTTTCATGAGAACAAAGAAGCACATTTTTTTCTGGTGCTGAGATCATTGAAAACAGGACACGGAAAACAGAAATTGTGTATCCTAAGGGATATCACAGTATTTGTCTATAACCATTACAATAACTTTTATTGGTTTTTATGCTAAGATTTCACATAAGTAGTACTACTGCTAAATTTTAGTTACTTAATTTTCATTTGTTGCTAACTTAATTGTTACAGAGTGCTCAGATTTGTAAAGTTATATCAAGGTGCATAACAAAAACATGTTCAATATATGCCTTCAATAATTTCTTTGTTGTTTGAAAACTTCCAACTTACAGCAAAGCTGGCATTTTATGGCCTGCAGAGCTATAAATCATTTTTAAAATCATGATGATATTACTCAAAACAGATGTGAAAACATATGTTTGCCACGGTTGTATAAACCGCTTACTTGTCATACTTAATAAATGTTGATACTTTTATTTTAACTACATTCCTTCTTAATAACTTTGAAAATCTTTTCCATGGTAAATATATTTTGCCTCAGTAAAAGTAATGGCAGGTTTTCAAAAACAAAGCTTGTTCTGTATACAAATTACATGCATATTTTTTTGCTGAGCAACCCAGCACAGACCACACTCTTCACTGACTGTCCATATCTGACTATGACAAACTTTTAATATATTAGAGGTGCACCAGAGCCCAAACTTCTTAAATACAAGAGAATAAGAACAGTATTAGGAACAAAGGATCCATACAGGAGCAAGGCAAATCACTGAAAAATAACAACACTTGTATGGGGTGACAGAAATGCCCAGCACATACAGGCTGGGGTTTTTCAGAAGCAGAGTATTAATTCTGTCCTACTGGTGAAGTCCATCACTTACTGGGTGCTTGTATCCTGTAAACCAGAGATACCTACAGGAACTCTAATACAGGTCTGTCCCATGGCCAAATGCAAAATCAGCTTGAATTTGTTAGATATACAATGTTGGTGCCTTCGAAATTTCAGCATTTGTCCCACTATAATGTCAAAAGGTTTTGGTTCTGGAGCATGGCATTACTTGAAAATGACAAAAAGAAATAACATCTGATTCTCATGTTTTCAGAGAAAAAATACTGATCTGTGCAGGTAAATCTCTGAACTCTGAGTTCATTCTAAAAAACTTCCCGTAAGTGCATGCAGAGGTAACACATCTATAAAGACATATTTCCCAGTACCTAATCGATTAAAGATAATACTATACAAAAATGAAGATAAGGAAATGAATAAACCTCCACAACTTTAATCTTAAGGTAAATTATGGTACACAAAATTTTAGCATCAGATCTTTGTGATTTTGTACATGTTACAAGGAACGCTCAGTGATCACAGGAGCCTGGGAATTAGGTTCACAGGTGGTGGAGTTTAAATTACTTTCACGCTTTTGGGGATTTCTGAATTGTCTTTTCTGATTCTTAAACTGTACCTTCCTTCATCCATCCTGCATGACAGGACTGCTACTACTAATAGCTACATGATTTGCATCTTTGAATCCCATAGGATATTGAATTGTTCCACTGAAAAATGACTAAATATGAGGCAAGAAACCATGCACGGTTCAACAAACTTAAAATCAAGCACACTTTCAGATTTAGATTAAATACACATCTATCTGATTACTACAGAAATTTAATGTTTTAATCTCAGGAATGAAGGTATGGTTGATAACTGGTCCATAAATGCCAACAGGAGTCAAAGAGGGAATGATTTAAGCGTGATGATCTAGACGAAATTACCACAGAATGGCAGAAAAGGGCTCTTCTGGGGTTCATGAGGGAAGTACTTAAATGTCTAGAGAAACCAGTGAATAGAAAACAGCTTCTTCAGCTTTCAAGAAGAGAGATTCAAGTACAAAAATACAAAATATAAGGAGGAAATTTCAGGTTCTTCCTACTCGTGACTGCATCAGTCACAGATGTCTAAGGAAAAAGGCTGATTATACAGAATCACGAATCCGCTCAAGTAATTTTATGTAAGTCTGGAACCACAGGACAAATGGAGCCTCCAATTTCTCTTCTGAGTTGCTCACAGATTTGTCTATACCTGTCTTCTCAGTTTTCTCAGAAAATACATCAAAATCACCTCAATAAAAATATAAATCTGTTTGTGTTTTCATTTATGATAACATGTTACATATTTACGGTAGACTTACTTATATTTTCTCATCTTTTAGTTACTTCTCTTTCCCTTCCCGTCTTTTTCACTCTGAAACATTACTATGTCCCTCAGTTTTTTCAGTATTGACTTACCACTGACTTTCTTTTATTTCTTTATATCTTAACTTTTTTTCTTTGCAGGGGCACCCGTGTCATATGGTGCTGTCTATATCTAATGCCAGAACAAACCTCTTGCCTATTAATATACAATTTTTTTTGTTGTTGTTGTATTTTCAAGGAAACAAAATGTTGCTTCTTCCTTGTTGTGCAGCCACAGACACCACATGCTCTCCATCAGTAAAGCACTTCCTCAGGGCTTACATGCATAGACCAGCAGTATCCACTTTTTCCAGTACACAACAACCACTACAGGGAGAACGAAGCAGAGGAGCCACTGCCCTGCCTATAGGCCTGTTACTAGAGACCAGATGTCACTTCTTCCCTTGGTGCCCCTCATTTGTGAAGTAATGCAGTATTATTAGACACAAAAAATAGCTTGTTTCCCTCACCTAGGTACCAGCATTAGAGTAGTCTGCACACACATTCCCTGAAGGCAAAGAAACAATACCATGTGACCAATCAAATATTTGCTAGGAACTTCATACATAATTGAACCAAAAGACCAGCAAAATATTAGTCCCATAAACAGAGAAGCAAGGATCTGGTTGCTTACACTTCTAAGGAGAATACCATGGAAATTCACTGGATACATTATTCAGTGCAATTAGGCACTTACCACTCTTAAATTTATAAAATAATGCCATTGCATATGCAGAATCCTAGAAAAAGGAATAAACACATAATAAGTGTAATTAAATGCCTGGGATGGAAAACAGTCTGTAATTTTACCTTTCTCCTTTTGTATTTTTTTTAGGCTGGTCCCAGTTTCTTGATCAATGAGTTCTCCTTCCCTGTTGTTGGTCAGCATAGCTAAAAAAGTCAGAGTGCACAACTTTATAACACCATCAGTAAAAAAAGTCAGAACAGAAAATATATTTAATTATATTTTCTCAGCATTTTGGTATTTTATGATTTGTTTATACTCTGTAAGTTCTAAGGCAATTGACCAATTTTGTTGTCCATAACCAACATTTTGCTGTCCCAGTTCAGCACTTAGAGCCAAGTAAAATACGCAGCAAAAGCAAATCTGCTCAACTTGATTAAACAAAGATACCAAGATAAAATCCAAATTACTACTGAGATGAATGTGATTTCTTATGAAATGCTCAGATTAACTAATTAGAGAAGTACTTCACAGAAAGCATTTTTGGGAAAATTACATTTAAGGATTTCAGTATTTGTAATTATCTATAAAGCAGCAAGTTTAAAAAATCCAGTTTGACAGATAGTAACCCAAATTGACAGATGACAGCAAAACCCCAATACACTGTAGTGCTGAAAGAAATTTTTTACTTAACACCTGCAAGATCAGGAAGAGGTGTTCAGTTTGTTATTTCAGGATGCCTATTTTCTTTGTTCTTATTTAACACATTTATTACAGACGTTATTCCAGTGAGGACACTTGTTAAAAGCTTCACTGCCATACTTTAGGGAAAGCTATTTCTTTTTGTTCTAAATTACAAAAGTGAAAACATACATTTTTGTAGATAAAAAGCATATACACATATCTTGACAAATTTAAGCATCAGAGTTCAACACAGAGAAATGTTCAGTTCAATATAAATAAAACCTAGTTTTCTTTAGAAAAGTTTCAGCACCACTTCTGGAGCTCTGAGTCTTGTAGAGCATGCAACTGCTGTGTTAACAGTAGCTTTCAAAAGCTAGAGTGAGGACTAAAGTCCCTTTTTCACCATTGTTACAGGAAGTTACATTTCTTATCCTGTAGATTTCTAGCCCTATTTTACCTATGAAAAACTGAGGAGAATCTCCTTTCTAATCTCTGCCCTGTGTATGCATATGTTTAGGCAAAATAGTTTAGGTTCTACTGATTAGTCTGTGCAGAGCCAACTGTGCTATGTAGTGTAATGGTGCTGCTGCATGGACCAGAGTAAAAACTGTAAAACCCCAGCAAGCAGCTGAGTAGTTATTTGATGGGAGTGAGGCCTATGCTGATGTACATGGACTGCACTGGTTTTATAGTTCAAATCTAGCTTCAGCAATGCCTGCATGAGCTCCAGCCATTGTGAAGACAACAGTGTTGACATACACTGACACGAAGAGATGTTAATTGACTTGCCCTAAATCCCTCTTGGAAGCACCAGGAATAGGATTTGAACTTCCTCTAGACTGAATTAGCATTTTAAACACAAGATCGATAATGCATAGGCTATAAAAGCTGTGGTGTTGACACCAAAAAAAATCAGAAAGTCCTCCACCTCATGGTGGTGATGGAATGTGTGGGCATAAGGAGGTTTTTGGAATGGAAAAGCCATCATATAATCTGTGAAGAAAAAGATATCTGCTGTTTTTCAATTCCAGGTGCCTTCATAGGCACCTTCATACTCCATCATGCAAGAGAAGTTGGTTTTACCAGAGAAGGGATGGTATCATCTGTGCATATATAAATACTGGCATACAGTGGATCTGAGGGGCTGGGCTCGGCATAGTGATGAATCTAATAAACTGTAGTGATGAACTTTCTGGGGAGTTCTAGCAAATGAGTGCTTTCCTGAGTGTCCCACCAAACAAATATTTGCCTCAAGAAACAAACTTCTAAAATTCTTGAGGTCAGTAACTGCAAAGAGGTGTGAGGCAGCAGAGCACTAACCAATTCTGTCTGGTGTGTTGTCCAACTGGGACGGTGAGCTGGACACGCTGCTGCTCTGATGGGAGGAAGCGTGGCTCCCAGGCCGCTGACTGTCTTCTAGAGATGGAGCTGGAGAAGGGCTGTCTTGGATCCTTTCCTTGGAACAGAAATAAAACAAGGTCTGTGCAATTTGATTCATGAACTTCACTGAAGTTCACTGAAAAAAATGAAGTTGGCTTAAAACACCAATAATAAATGATCTTTCTGAGATAAACAGTGAACTTTTCGAGAAAAAGTGAAATGTCTTTTGAGCAGTGTAGTCATCTACAGTTAAAAAGACTATAGCCTTCTGCATGCAATGTATCTGGGCACAGCTTTTCATCCTTTGCGTCATGACATAGCATTTGCCACCTTTTATTCCTCGGTAATTTTTTATCTTCTAACTTTTTCACACATAAAGAATTATAGAATTGTTAAGGTTGGAAGGGACCTATAGAATTTTCAAATAATAATTCAGATTTGGACTAACCTGTCACTAAATGCAGTGAAATTTGTAAACTCACTAGAATCTGCACCTGAATAAATTACATCAGTATCTTCTCAGGGTAGCGCCCAGACACATTTTAAAAGCTGTGGCACTGCTAAGAACTTCACTTCTGCAAGAAAAGCATCACTGACTAGCAAAGATCAGAATGTGCTTGCAAATTCTTATTTACTTGAGAAACTTTGATGTTAACCTCTAATTTAAATATGCACAGTATTTCAGGTAAGGAGGAAAGGGATAAGAAATTATAAAAAGTTAGCAAAACTAAATGCTGCAGTTCTGTGTATCTATACTTGCAGACTGCCTGAAGATGCCATGGAGTTTTCATTAGTAAATATCTTTAGGAAAAGGTTAGACAAGCATGGCATAAGTAATAATTCATCATCCTGTCTTGAGGAAGGCAAGAGATTATATGACCACTGGAGATCCCTTCCAACCCAGTGCTTCCACATGTACAATTTTCTGAATCGATTAAAAATTCCAGTACCCTTTATTCCTGTTCCCAGAACCAATAAAAAATTACAAATCTTCTAAAAGGACAGATCATGGCCTGACACACTTCACGTATTTTTATCTTAAAAACCCTTCTGTGTTTTACTCCTCTGTTACACATCCCTGAAGGTGTAGTTCCAAAGGAGAGATGCTAATGAGGGGATGCTTGATTTTACAGAAATCCAGAAATTGCATCTTTGGAGTTGCCTTCATCCCTGGCAATCAGCTGTTCCCCATGGAAACTCAGAACTGAAATAGTACTTCCTTTTTTTTTAAAGGGAGATTCTCTTACCCCCACCTCATTAAGAATCACAATTACAGTATAATCTGGGGAAGTTGTCTCAAAGGAACTTTGCAATTTTTCTGCCTTCCTAACCTATTCTCAAAGATTTTTCATTAGGAATATACAATCTGGCTACTTGAAGGCAATTTACTGTGTGCTTTGAAAATGAACTCACTGGCATCCGAAATTTTAACACAGTTTTTGCTAGACAGTATCCTAATCACAAACACAGCCTTAGGAAGAGAATGGTAGATTCCACTAGTTTTTCCACTATAAATAGCTAGCAGAATAGCTTCTGTCATAACCTGTTGAGGCAATTCATTAATAACACTGGCAGTAGGATTGACATTCTAAGAATATTGAGTTACCCATTAAAACCACCTCTCTAAACCACACTCATCTTCATGTTTACAGATATATTTGAGAATGACGCAAAGGGAATATGAGATTGGATCCTCCTAATAACAAGGGGTGGCACTTGACTATTCCAATCACAACAGCTGAAAACGTAGCATTGAATGTGTTTTTAATAGGATAGTTATTGTACATTAAATAACAACTGAGCCTCAAAATGATGTAACAGATGTGTATCTATTACATAACTGTTAATCCTCTATGGATCTGTTTTCACTAATTATCTGTTATTTAGTGAACACCCACTAACTAATAAATCTTGAAGGGATATTTTCAATTGCAATATTTTTGGATGCTAGTTGAAAATGTTTATTAAGGTTTAACAGATATGAATCTATTATGTTGAGTTACAAGTTCCTGAAATTTTGAAAACTGAATGGTTTTAAACAGTTTCCAAATTCTGTGGGAAAAAAGTTAAAGTCACTGATCTTAAAGTCTCCTGCATTTTCCTCTTCTCAGCCTCCAAAAGAATGGTTTTAGAGGTTGCTGAGATAAAGCAGAAGAGTAAAACAAGAGTCAGGACTTTGTAGATGGGCTGCTTACTAAGTTGCTTTTACAAGTCACATTCTTGCCCCAGAAAGTATTCTAAATAAATGATGAATCACATACATGCAATCCTGAGTTTATAAATACTAGGTGTCTTTTACCTTTGTGTAAATAATAACTTCCAAACAGGTTACTGCTAACAGGAGACAACTCTGACTGTTATTTTATTTGCTTGGATTTCAGTTTTAACTGTCCTCTTTGGCACTATTTCCTCTTTTTTTACCACAAAGAGTACTCAATTTACAATTAAGATACCATTTTGAAATTATTAATTTAACAGAAGAGTACATAGTTTAAGTAAATTTCATTGTCTACTGCAACCATGAAAATGAATAGCCAAGAAGAGGACATGCCAACTGTTCTGCAAAAAAAAAAAGCTATGAACAAATATGACTATGAATTAACACTTAGATATCGCACAAACAGCCATATATGTCATCTTAAATGGGAGTTATTTGAGTAATTCAAAAGCTGATGATTTGGAAAAGCAAAGTATTCGAGCTCCTTCTGGTAACTGCATTTCCCATTGTCTCTTGCTATAAAATAATCTCTGCTTCAAGTCATTTGCCTTCAAACTCAGGGTCTTGGTTTGAAATGTTCAGACAGAAATAAAAGTGTCAAATAATAATGTCATTCTTAATCACATAGTGAATCATTTTCTAAGTGAATTAGTTGATTATGTCATCTAATGTCTTATGAGTTATAAAAATTTACTGTACAGGGAAGATACAGTTTTCCCTATAAGCAACAAAGGAGCTGAAATTTTCTCTATATCACATGTACTGCAACTGAGGATAGAGTATCACCATGTAAGACTGCATATGGATAGAGAAATTGCCTATTTCTAAACGGCTGTGTGGAAACGTGATGCTGAATTTCCCCCACTATAATGAATAACACTATGAATAGACCCTTTTTTTGCAAGTAAACAGATCCATTTTTCAGTCCTGTAATCAGTATGCATCTATTTAGCTACTTAACAGCAATGTGCTCTGGTTCATTAGGTAGCTACTGTTGTGTCTCAGCCTAGTTAAAATTTCACAGCAAGTTAATCTATTTTATTACAAATGAGAACACAAGTGATAATGTCCTCACCATTTTCCAAACACAGGGTTAACAGTATTTGTAACAAATCAATGAGGGCATTTAAATAGAAAAATTGCAAATCTAAAACCTTAACAATTTTTTTTACACATTGATGACTTCATTTTATTTGTCATCTATGTATTTTACAGCCTTGTTACTTTTCATATATTTTATTTTTTTCCTCTTGAAAATAGCTCCGTTCCCACCGGCAGAGTGCTGTGTAGCCTGGTTCTACAGCAGATCTACTCACAGGAACAGAAAAGCATTTCTAAATAAAGTCCTATTTTCTCCATTTGTATTTCTTCCTATTCATAAATTTGCAAGATTCATATTCCAGGTTATAATGTAATGAATTAAACATAAAAAATTTGCAGATAGTGAGAATTTTATGAAAAATGAAAACATTTCTCAAGACCTCACCTATTTATCTCACTACAGAACTTACTTTACCTTTTCTCTTTCTGTTACAGAGCTGTAACATAAATTCTCAAAGACGACTTTTGCAGTATTTAATCCTTTTGAAGGGTAATATATTTGTCTCACTAAAGATCAGTGTCTTGCTTTGGCTCAGAAACTAGCTACAGAGCTTGACATTGTTAATTTTAGTTGTGATTTAGGTTAACGGCACTGAAGTCATCAACTCGTCCAATTTCTAGATACATCCTTGATTTCACCTCAATATCCCTCTTCTATCCCCTGTGAGGTCGTATTCCACACAAATAACATGAAACACCATGCACCGGTTGCATCCAGAGTAGGGTTTTTTTTGAAATATATATGAACAGCTTACCTATTTTTGACACAATCATCTTGACCTTAATTCCTTACTTCTGATTTTTTTATAGTATTGATCTTCATTTTGTGTCAAGAGTTTAGAGAAATGATGCTGCTGGATTTTTCTTTATTTTTCTTTATTCTTAGTTCTAATGTAGCTGTAATTACTCTTCCAAATGTTAATCTATTAATAAGTTCCTAGAGGATTTAATGGCATTTCACTGCTGACAAGCACGTTTTGGAAGTTTGTCTGAGTCCTGGATATTTTATTCAGACATTTATCTTGATATTTCATATTTAATTGAGGTGCTGCTTCTGTACTCTACAAGGACTCTGCAGTGGCAAGAGAGCTGGAATTCACCAGACCTTGCTAATGAGACAGAGAGGAAAGAAAAACGGGGATTCTACTGCCTCTAGGTCTAGATTAAGGTTTTCACCTACTGTAAGAAAGATTTAGAGCTGATGACCATGTTGGAAAAAGAGAGAGTTTGTAGGCTCTGGCAGAATAAATTTTCCTACATTAATGTGCATCCTAGTTCCTAACTGGAATGTTTCTCATGCCACACCTCAATCTCCCAGTCCTTGTCAAAACACCATTCAGATTCACAAAATGGACTACACAGTTAAAAAACAAATCTAGAAACCAGAGCTTCATGTCTCTGGAGGGGTCTGTGAAGCCAGAAGCAGCCAACCAGCAGAATGGCTGCAGACCTCCTCACCTCCTATCCCAAACCAACACAATTCTGTGCCTGTGATACTGCTGCTCCTATCTTCCTGGCTGAATTCCATCCTCAATAAAGAGAAGAATAAGAGAAGTTAACACAATTTCAGTTAGCACAGAACTGAATTGCTAATATTCTTAATTTTTATTTTTTTAGTTAATACTAAGGCATGTATTTCTTTCCAGTCGAACTTAATTCAGCTAAAGTCAAACTAATAGTATTTGGATCCTAATAAAAAGTACATTTTTAACATTGTTCTGAAGTTTAGTCCTTAACTAATGCATTACTGAGAAAAT